TGGTCATCGCGTAGCAGCTACGTTATAGGCTAGTTATACTGTTTACTAACGTCAACGACTATGACAAACTTGCTGTTGAACGTTTGTTTACTTGTTTCAAATTTTGAAATGGCTATTTGCGTGGGGGTTTGTCGATGTAAACGAGTTAACATTAGCTAACCGTCTTTCCATTCACCGTGTTTCTGAAAATGAGTGTTTTACCGTGAAATTGATGCATCAATGCATTACAGGCATACATGGTTACAAAATTGCAGTGTCTAACGTTACCCTGGAAAATAAGATATAGTTGTGCTGTGTAGGCCTGCAATTATTTGAATTGTAATAGCTATAACGTTAGGCTACGTATTAGTGGTGACCCACGATGTGCGTGATTTTCAGCTAATTTTTGCATTCTCAATGAATGGTGCTAGATTATGCCTCATACTGTTGTTTTTGTGATCTTCAGATACGACTGTCCTGCAGACAACCGGTTGAAGGTTACTCCTCCTCAAATCTGAACCAAATGGATTTGCTGAAATAAAGGCAGTAAATCAAGAATATGGTGTTCAGTGTAGTAATTTCCACACAAAACATTATATTGTGTTGAATAAATGTTAACTCTAAGAAGTGTTAAACTAAATATTTTTTTAAGTGTTACTTTTTAACACTGGTAATGAGTTCATATAATTATTTTTAGACTTACATTTACTCTCCGTAGGATTAGTATTTTAACTCCATAAAGAGTTACATTTTAACTCTGAAAAAGTGTTAATTCAATTAATCAAGCTTGGCCAATAATGGCAGACAGGAAACAAGGAGCTGGCTTAAGTTCAGGAAGTAGTGCAGCTGTGCATAAAGCCAATTGGAGGTGAAGTATGCATTTTTTTAAATCAAAAACACATGCCAAACACACTTAATAACTTAATAATTTCTGCTTCGCATGCGCCCTTTACAGCACTGGGTAAAGACGCGGGTCCCGCGTCGAGCCCGGGCATCCGGTCGTTTACGTCTCAAAGTAACTCAGAACTGTATCACAGCTCTGGAGCCCTGTAAGGCAGTCGACCGGTATTAGACAGGTGTAAACCTGGGGGTAATCTCGAAACTGAAAGGGGTTTCGACATACACCTCCAATTTGGGCTGGGGCGCCCTCTACGAGGGCAGGCCGACTTTTGGCCTGTGGTCAAGCCAAGAAAAGAGCTTGCACATAAACTGTCTAGAGATGAAGGCGGTTGAGAACACCTTGCGGTTTTTCTAAAGGGCCACCATGTCCTTGTCCGCACGGACAACATGTCAGTGGTTTCCTACATAAATCGCCAGGGCGGTCTGAGATCAAGAAACCTTCATGCACTGGCAGAACGTCTCCTTGTATGTGTTCAGCGCAACCTACTCTCGCTGAGAGCGGCACATGTGCCAGGCCATCTGAATGTGGGTCTAGACAGGCTGTCCAGGGACAACGTTCAACGTTCCCCCAGGGGAATGGTCTCTCCACCCTCAGACAGTTCAGCTGTTGTGGGACACCTTTGGCACAGCAGAAGTCGACCTCTTTGCATCTCAAGACAACGCTCAGTGTCCAATATGCTTCACAAAGAACAAGGACGTGCTGACCCATCACTGGCCCAGCCGCCCTCTCTATGCTTTCCCTCCGATCACGCTGTTACCACAGGTAATCAAGCGTATCAGGGAGAATGGTTCCACTGTGCTTCTAGTAGCACCGTTCTGGCCGAACAAAGTTTGGTTTCCGGAGCTGATGCAGCTTCAGAGCTTGGCTCCATGGCCTTTCCCGTTGAGGAGAGATCTCCTCTCACAGGCCGGGGGTATGATTTGGCACCCACGACCCGAGCTTTGGGCTCTGCATGTGTGGGGCATCAACATGTACCCATCAGTCTTCCCGACGGAGTGTTAAACACGATTACGCAAGCTAGAGCGCCCTCTACTAGACGGCTTTATGCTTCCAAGTGGTCAGTGTTCTCAAGTTGGTTCTCAGCTCACAACCTGGATCCACAAGATTGTGAGGTATCAGAGGTTCTCTCCTTCCAACAGGAGCTATGGGATGAGGGTAGATCCCCATCCATGCTCAAGGTATATGTGGCGGCTATTGCTGTGCTTGTCAAACATTTGCACGGCAAGTCAATGGGTAGGAACAACCTTGCAGTCCCTCAGGGGAGCTAGAAGGATGAACCCTCCTCGTCCCCCCCTCGGTTCCCATATGGGACCTTTCCTTGGTCCTTGAGGCTATGAAGGGTGCCCCTTTCAAACCTCTACAGTCTGTGGACCTTACGTATCTCTCATTGAAATCTGCCTTTCTGGTGGCTATCGCCTCAGTCAAGTGGGTGGGTGACTTACACACACTTTCTGTTAGCGCGTCGTCCCTTGAGTTTGGGCCTAATGACTAAAAGGTCATCCTCAAACCAAGACTTGGTTGTGCTACCATCTGGTTTCACTTCAGTCGATGAAAACCAAGGAGCATCCTATCGAGCTCTTGCTTATATAGGCATAAGCCACGCCCATTCACGCGGGACATGACGACTGAGGGTGCCGGCGCCCTCATTGGTGCTTATGTCACGAGCAGTCACTCAATAGGTTTCAGTAGTTGGTACAGAGTGAAGGGCTGCACTTTTTGGGATTGAGTCCTGCCGGGTCCCACGGGACCCAACACAAATCTCGCGGGAGCGGGCAGTTTGAACTTTTCTGCGGGCGGGAATGGGCAGCTAAAAAAAAATGCGGGATCGAGAGGTAGCCTAGCGACATGATGGACATGTCAATAAATGATGTGGAAAAGATCCTCAAACGAGGTATTTACAGCACAAAACCTAAGCAAGGCAATCCTGATCAGTGCGTCAGAATACATGCAGGCCAGGCCGAACTCTCTCTTCTCCCTTTTCCCGACACCTAAACCGTGATATGACATTGTGCCTTTATAAAACAGCACAAGACTGTAAATAAGTAGCCTATAGCCATTCTGTTGTGCTGCGCGATTTAAAGAAAAGTGCACACTTTGCTCACGCAGTCACCATGGTGATCTGGTGTTTTCTCCAAAATAAAAGCTCAAGGGTTTATTTCTTGCAAGTGAAGAAATTAGGACAAAACTATTGTAATTTTCCTTTACAATATTGTAAGTAAAAAATATTTTTTTAAATATTCATTTTCATTTATACAATACATTTATAGGTTAGGCCTGTATGGATTTTACATAATAGGAATAATTATAGAAATCATTATTACATTATTAGAATAATCGTTTGGCATCCTAAAACAGACTGAAACTTTATATCATAACTAAAAAGATGTTTGATCCCTCTTTAATGTCCAGGTACAAGTCGAGGCTTTTCCTTTGTTCAATGTCACAGTTCATGGGTTGAAGCCGGTTAAAGCTCTTAATTTTGAGCTCTCAAAGTGCACCAGATGCATTTAACCTTAAAATGTACAAAATTTTCTTTCGGGGGAGCATGCCCCCGAACCCCCCAGAGGGACAGAGGTCTCAACATAGTTTTATAAAATCATATAGGAAAGAACAATAATTTATGAACTTTAGTCCCAAAACATTTTTTTAAATCAGTAAAACTGTTAGCATATGCCAAATAATGCCAAAAATTGGACAAAATATACATTTGGCCTACAAGACATTATGACGACCACTCCAAGCAAAACTCACAAGTTGGCAACCCTGGTGGAGTGAATAAACGAGAAAGAAATGATAGAATGAAGCAATGGTAAAAAGACAATAACGATAAGACAGAACATACAGCAGATGGGAGTCAAATGGGAGTCAACCCTATGAGTCAAACGCATGGTCAAAAAAGACACAGCTTTTGACGTCACAATATGCGACACACAATATGCCATAGTGCACAGAACGTGATCCATCCATGGATCCGCCAAATAAGCCATCGGAAGACGTAACTATCAATCGCAGATCTACAGAACATGTGTGCAAAGATGTGCAATGCATTTTTGTGTTTTTTTTTTTAAACGCATATTACAGACTCATTTATACAGGGTGAAAACAACGCAACATGAGCACATTGAGGCTTGATCTGTCATAGTGCACAGAACGTGATGCGTCAATGCGCCATCGGAAGACGTAACTATCAATCGCAGATCTACAGAACGTGTGCAAAGACGTGCAATGTATTTTTGTGATTTTTTTTGTGAAACGCATTTTACGCAATTTGTACAGACTCATTAGAGGGTGAAAACAACGCAACATGAGCATGTTGTTGGAGGCTTGATCTGATCATGTTACATCTCTGGTTTTGTATGCAAAAAGAATGACTGAGCTAGCCATTTGGTTTCAGTTTCTATAGGCTGTTAAACAGACACACACAAACACGCCGGCGCTTCGGTCGGTCTTAAAGGGTTAATTATTAGTTGTTAAAGGTCTTTATTATGTGTTATCTAGGGCACTATGATTTCTGTGATGTAGAAAATGCAGACATAAAAATGAAAAATAATGTAAAATGTGGAATTTCACAGAATTGTCAAATTCTTGATGAATAAATAAACTAACAAAAAACTTTGATATATCCATCTACAAATGCAAGGGACATCCGTTATGCTCATCTTTGGTAGCTCTATTGAAGGTATCTTGAGTAAAATGGCTCTATATTTAATGAAGTAAAAAACACATAACATACAAAAGACCTGAGCCGGAAGCAATACAGAAGTAAAGATGTGCTGAACTCCTATTCATTGGCTGATGGTGCAAAAGCCAAGTTCATGAAAGGCTGCATCGCATGATCACACCACCCTTATAGGGACTTCACTCAATTTTTAATTTAAAGTACTTTTTGGCATGATTGTGTTTATACTATACTATACACTAAACAATTAATGACAAGAAAATGAAATATAAAACTAAAAAAAAAAAATCTCACCAGAATTTCTTACTGAATCTTACAGAATTTCTTACAGTCTCGGCCTGTTGTGACACAGCGTCTAGTTTTTTTAGTTTAATAAATTTACACAGTATGTCATGTGTTGCCTTTTACAGTGTCTGATATATTTTTCCATACATTCAGAAACCAGCCCCTTCCTTATCTACAACGAGGACCACAACAAATGTGTGACAGTCGTGAGTGCTAATGTAAAGGCTGCGCCATGTGAAAAATCATCTAAGGCACAGTATTTCAGATGGATTTCCTCTTCACGAATCATCAGCCTCTCTTTAGGTCTCTGTTTGGGGGCAGAGAAGATCGAAAACTGGGCTCAAATTATCCTTCTGCCCTGCAATGAATTTGACCCCGGACAAACCTGGGAATGTAAAAATGAGACCTTGTTTGGATTGAAGGGACATCCACTGCACCTGAACCATGGACATAAAAGTAACAAAATTCTGGTGTTGTTAAATGGAACAGGTGATTGGAGTCGCTGGCAGATTTATGGGACCAACGAAAATTTGTGTTCTCATGGATATCAAGGTATGACCAAAAGTCCACCTAATATTATTTGGACAAATATTTGGCGATATTTGGGCAACCATTAAGCCCTTTATGATGACAAAATGTAACATTCATATTTAATGTCTAATGTCTATTCATATATAATGAATTTCCCTGTGTGATGTTAGCATTTGTTGAACTAGGTGACAGACTTCAGTGTCCTTGTTGTTTAGATCAAATTCTTAAACCATTCTTGCACAAACTTGCACCCTTAATTTCATTTATTTATGTTCTGCAGAGATGTCTAGTATAGGTGGTAATTCACTTGGGAAAACATGCCATTTCCCTTTTAAGTTTAATGGCAAGTGGTACGCTGAGTGCACTGTGGATGGCAGGACTGATGGTCATCTGTGGTGTTCCACAGAAAAAGTTTACCACAACGGTGGAAAGTGGGGCTTCTGCCCCACAAAAAGTAAGACATCACAGTTATATTTTATGTGCTATTATGTGTTTTATATTTAATATTATGTGCTATTCACTTAAAAATATCATGTGTAATACTGTTTCTATAATTTTTTGGAAACAAACAAAGTTCACTTGACTACACCAACAGTAGCAAAAACATAGAATATGCTATATTAGTTATTAGTTATATAAACGGGCAGGCTCTCCTTCATTACTACCATAATATAAATGAAACAAACTATTTAAAAAAATGACAAAAACACTCAATTAGCACTGAGAAAACATTTGGTTCTGGTGGCTGGCTGGAAGTCTGGCCCAGTGCGACCAGCCCAGTGTAGCAACAGCACACTTCTGAAGAGCGGAAGAGGCTGCCAGTGACAGGCTGTTGCACCCATTAAATGCAACCTTTTTATTATGACATTGATGATTTATATTAAAATTAGTTAGAGAATAGAACATCAGTATGAACTTTTAACATTTAATTTAAAACTATGTAATTGGGCACGTTCTCTCTCTCTCTCTCTCTCTCTCTCTCTCTCTCTCTCTCTCTGCTCGTTATGCACCCTGTCAAGCGCAGCAGTTTCTATTCAACATCACTCACCGCTCAAAATAGGCTTTGGCGGGACAAAAATTTGCTTTGGCAAATTAAAATTATGCCCAATACTCGCAACCCAGCGCCGAAATTTATAACCTAACACCAACACTCGTTAACTGGAGTGAGTGAAAGGATAATATATGTATATATAATATTTCTAGTTTCATCTTGACTCTCAGTTTGACGAACAAAAAGCAAATAAGCATGATGTGTGTTTTATTTCAGATGTCTCACAGCCCAACATCACAGTGTATGGGCAGATGCAGGACAGAGAGCATGTGATAGTGATGTGTTCATTTGGCAGGTGGTCCATTGAGAGCTCTTTCCAGCTGTCAGTGGAGGGTGAACACAACTACACACTGAAGTGCCCACTGTATTATTTAAATGAAAAGTGTGTGTTTGATGTGAAAGTGAGTCCACCTGTTTCCTTCACCTGTGTGCACGAGATTAATTCTGTGGTGAACCGTCGCAGTGAGACTTACAACTACGGCCCATCTGGTAAAACAACCTGAGAATACACTACATTTGACATTTTCAAAACTATTGTAATCCTTATGCTGTTATGATGGCATGTTAGATTTTGACACCTCAACAAATGTCAATGTACCTAAACAATTGCATTTAAAGAATTATATTTCACATACTAATATAATCATACTATCCTTAATAACAGTTATATTAAAACACATTTTAGGCTTAATATTAAGAAATGTGCATTGCGGAACAAAGAAGTACTCCAAATAAAGTTTAATTATAATATTTATATCAGTAACTATCAAGTGATATGTCAGTGAATATGTTAATGGATTTGTACTTGGTATGAATTATTTAAATAAATGTTCATATAGGTTTTTATCACTAAGTCACTTAATTGTTTAATGGCTATAGTAAATACAGCTTTTCAAAATTAAAAAGTAAAAAAAAAAAATCTTTATTAAGCTCAAAACACCCCCATCATGAGCATGTGAGTGTGAGTGATGAGTGTGTTGTATTACAACACACCGAGTAAGTCGGCAGATTTGCTGTTGTACTAATGCATAGTTTTTGGTTATTAAAAGTAAGAAATTGTTCTATTTATTTGTTTATTTCTAAATAAAATTTAATTAACATTATTAATCACCATATATGGACACATCAACTACAGCGAGATCTATACAGTCTGGTAAAACATAAATATACTACAAATGGCACTTTCATTAAAGATAAAAGAAGTATTGTAATCCTAATGCCTATTACTTGCATGTTGGATCCAGGCTCTTTGAAATAAATCTCATACGGTATGTGCCCTTAAGACCCGGGGGTGTAAATTTATATTTTTTCTATTATAGAATAATCACATGAATTTCCCATGTTTTTTACATGGGAACTGTTCCAAAACCACATGTTTTCCATATGAAATGTATGCGTTTCACATGTGTGACATATGTTTTTGCACATGTGAAATTCATGTGGTTTTGCTGGTCCTTGTGTTTGCTTTCAGATTTTTCTGCAATCTTGGATCATCGTGAGGAAGGAGTCTCTTCATTCTATATTGGCTTTTTCTCCTTCATTGTTGTTGGTCTCGTCATCATGACAGCTGCAGTGATCATAGTCACCTTTAAGAGCAATGCTAAAGGTGTGCATTTCACCCAAACAAATAATAATTCTGATATATTCATTTAAAACTACTGTATGCATATGTTGTAGTAGCACTTGGTTTTAGAAAAGCTCAAAAGAACAAGAAAACATCTCAAAAGCTGTCTTTTTGTCACAAGAAAAATATATTAAACCTGTTATAGAACAACAAAATTTTGCAACTTATTTCAATATTGTGATGACACTGTACAGTATATACTGTGATAAAAGCTTCAGTAATTATCTCAATTTGAGTTAAAATTTTGTCGCATACCTACCCTGGAGTTTGTCATTTATTTAGCTGTGTGTTTTGCCAAATTCATGCTGCTGTACACAACACAATATTAAATCAAATCAGACACAAAATAAGCAGAATGCATTTGTTTTTCAACAGGTCCAAAGATTACTGGGGCAGCTGATGTCTATATATGAATGTATAAGAAGAAATCCGAGTTTCTGAAGATGAAAAAATGGACAACTAATCAATTCAGATTAATCAAATTTTCTGCATGCTGAACTGTATTACTCTTTCAACATTCAAGTAAAATCCTTATTTTATATCTAGTATCTCGCAACAGTGAGTACACCCCTCACATTTAAGCAAACATTTTAGTATATCTTCTCAAGGGACAATATAGAAATGAAACTTGGATATATTTTAGAGTGGTCAATGTACTGCTTATATAGCAATATATTTATACTTTCCTCTAAAAACAAATAAAAATACAGCCATTATTGACAACAACAAAAGAAATAGCAACAAAAGTGAGAGAACACCCTAATTGAACATGTCAAAACTCTGTCTAAATCTTCAACATTTTGTGTGAGCGCCACTGTTATCTTAGCCTGGTTCAACCAGACTCTAAATGAAATTGAGCGGAAGTGCGTAGGAGGGCGCAGCCAGGCTACTGTTATCTAGCTCTGCCTTTAAGAATATTTAAGAATATCTGCCTATATATTTAAGAAAAATATATTAATAAAATGTTATTAATATATCAAATATTTATATTTATATATAATATTAATTGTGAATATATATAAAATATATACATGCACATATTTCTTAAATATATACATGCATGTATGGGTTTTTATATATACAAATTAATTATACACACTACACACACATATATTATGTAAACAAAAACTTTTATTTTGGATGCGATTAATCGCGATTAATCGTTGCCCATCCCTAGTCGTGAGTTGTTCTATAGTGCAATTTATGCTGTAGTTATTGATTTGTCATAGACTTGTAAATGTATTTTCATGTTTGTGGAGTACCACAAGGTAGTGTACTGTATTAGGGCCCTTACTTTTATAAATGATTTAAAGATGGCCTGTTCTGGCCACTTATCATTATGCAGATAATGCCATAATTATAGTTACTGATGAAATTAAAGAAACAATAGAAAACAAGTTAAGAAGAGTTTTGTGTTTTCAAAATAAGCTATTTTTGCACTTAGGGAAAACTAAGGCTGTTTTATTTGGTTCTGCTGCGAAATTGAAGAAATGTCCCAATTCAGAAATATGGGTGGGAGATGAGTATTTTACTTTTAGATGAGTATTTTACTTTTAGATGAGTATTTTACTTTGCAGTTGATTGGAATGAATTGCCAGTTCATTTAAAACAATTACAAGAGGCATGGCCCTTTAGAAAAGAAGTTAAAAATGGCTTTCCAAATAGGATCCCATACGAATTTATTAAGGTGTGAGTTGTTTATTTTTGATTTTATTCCCACTGGAACTGTTCGCCCATTTTATGCATATAGAGGACCACAATGGAAATAAGCCTGAGGCTTTTTTGTGTATTTTATCCTCGACAAGTTGCATTGAAATGTATATGAATTGCCTCTGGCATGATCATTGTTGAATAAATCAAATAAAAAAAAATCAAAACTAAGATTAATAAATGCTGTAACAGTATTATTCATTGTTAGTTAATATTAACTAAAGTTAATTTCAACATTTAGTAATACATTATTAAAATCAAAAGTTGTATTTTTTTTACCATAGCATGCCCTGTCATCTAACATGAACACACAATGAATGACTGTATTTTTTATTAACTAACATTAAAAAAGTTTTAAAAATACTGTAATTAATTAATTGCCTATAGTTTGTGATAGTTATTACATTAACACGTTTTAGCAAATGAGACCTTATTGTAAACTGTTACCAAAAAAAAAAGTCATACACTAAAAAAAAAAAAAAACAGGAACCCATTTTTACTCAGAAATGTATCAATTTAATAAATGATTAGAAAGCAATGTCTCTTTGATAGAGAAAAGTTTCTTCATCTCGGGAAAGCCCAACTAATGTTTATTTTGGTCTTATTCCTCTTTTTGTCGAAAACCTTTTAAGCAGAAGAGCGTATTTTTTTTTCTGTGGAAGTTCCCTATTCTGTGATGCGCTTTCCCATCTTATTTTTATGCAGTGTAAGCAGAAACTGGCAGTCTCCTCCTCATAAAGGCCAACAGTTTCAAAGAGGCAGGGTTTATGCAGTTTGGAAAAGTATGGAATTTGAGTAATTTCCAGGTGTGGATAAGTAGAAAAAAGTTTGTTTTACAGACTACTGCCCCTGTTCAGTTTTATATACGTATATGGAGGTTTTAAAGCTGTAAAGCCCGGCTCCGATCAGCGGGTGAAGTCTTTTCTCGTGGCAAATCATTTTTGATTAAATGCAATACATTTTTCATATGTTTTCTCTCGTTATTTCATCTGACTCCAAAAATGAAAATGTTTCTAATGATATCAGTGCATCATTATACGAGCGAATTATTGAATGTTCCCTTTAACTAATGAAATTATGTCAGTTAGAATTTTTAAAATGTTAAAATTTATTATGTCAGGTAAATATATAAGTTCAAAGATAATCAATACAAAACATCAAATGTTCTGGAATAAAGACATTAAAATGTTAATTTGCTTTGTTCTCTCAGAGAGTTGCGCTATCTTCCAGTTTTTCCAGTCTTACATGATGAAAAGAAACCTAAAATGCTTTGTAAGCGCATGTTAACACTTTAAGAGAAAAAAAAACAGAAAAAAAAGATTTAGAGACTGTATTTACCTACTTTACTTACTAAATATAATGCTGAAAATAATGTTGAATGAACCACGAAATATGACTGAAAAATCTAGAGGTGTGAAAATTTGAGTCTGAAAAGGTATGAAATGGAAAATGTTTATAGGAACCCTGAAGAGAGGTTACAGAGAAGTGATTCAGGAAATCAAAAGAATGGGATAAAAAAATAAATGTAAATGTTGAAAGATATTTTGAAGAATTTTGGTAAACAGACAGATGATTCGTTCATCTTCGGAACACAAATAAAGATATTTTTGATTGAATCTGAGGGCTGGATCAGTCCTACATAGACAGCCTGAGGGACTGCCTCTTGACGGCCCAGAAAGTCATTAAAAGAAAAGGTTTAAATATTCCATGTGCCTACAGTGGCTCAACTATAACTTTATCAAGCGACGTGACTACTTTTTGTGCGAAAAAAAACGTAAATAACCACTTTATTCGACTTTCCATTACTTCCTTATGGGCGCATGCGCGAGAACTGAGACGAGACCGTTCTTCTTCGACTACTTTTTGTTACCGGCTGCTCACCGCTTAGGAGTTTTACCGCCCCTACCGTATAAGATGACATACTGCTTGTAAACAGAACGTTTTGCGCCTCCGGCTATATCAGTACGTCATCTTATACGGTAGGGGGCGGTAAAACTCCTAAGCGGTGAGCAGCCGGTAACAAAAAGTAGTCGAAGAAGAACGGTCTCGTCTCAGTTCTCGCGCATGCGCCCATAAGGAAGTACTGGAAAGTCGAATAAAGTGGTTATTTACATTTTTTTTCGCACAAAAAGTAGTCACGTCGCTTGATAAAGTTATAGTTGAGCCACTGTAGGCACATGGAATATTTAAACCTTTTCTTTTAATGACTTTCTGGGCCGTCAAGAGGCAGTCCCTCAGGCTGTCTATGTAGGACTGATCCAGCCCTCAGATTCAATCAAAAATATCTTTATTTGTGTTCCGAAGATGAACGAAGGTCTTACGGGGTTGGTACAGCATGGGGGTGAGTAATTAATGACTTAATTTTCTTTTTTGGGTGAACTAACCCTTTAAAAGCTGGATGGTGTTTATCATGCTGCACTGCGTTTTATAACAAATGCTTGCTCACGTACTCATCATTGTTTGCTGAACAACTATGTAGATTGGTCCTCTTTATATCAAAGAAGGAAATCACATGTTAGTATATTACACTGTAAAGGCATTGCTGGGTAAGCTTTCAAATTACATTTCGGGATTTTATGCTTAAGAACTATAACTTTATAGGACAGTTTAGGTCCCATAAAGTGCATATATATTGAAATTTGGGATTTCATCATTTCACTCTCTTAAAACTCATTCTTTCCTTTCACTTTCTTTCTTTCTGCAACTCATGTGAATGTGTTTTTGATATTAGTTTTATGTGTTAGAATAATCAGTCTCGTTAGTATTTAAAGAGAAGAGTCTTGGGTAAGTGCTTACGAATTCAATATCTTATACTGCTGAGCTTGTGTTACCAAGCTAATAAATTGAAAAAAAAAATTATATATATTTTTTTAATAAACATAATTCACCAACTATATTGCTAAAAGGACCTAATTTTTCCAACGCTATCTCACGACCAATTCGTACGAATTTGTACGAGTGATTAAAAGGGGTCAGATGAATTCATACAAATACAGTATCACGGCCCTGCCCACAGCCGGTGCCGGAAGAAAAAATTCAATACAATTTCTCCATTGACATTTGAGATATAAGCCATAAAAACGTAACCATACATAGTAGACTTAAAACCAGCTACGGCTGTACTAAGCGATTGTATATGCTCATATAAACGGCAAAAGTTCATGGGGCACTAACCTTGTTTTAAGTTAAATGCCTTTTATTCGCGATGTATTGGATAAGTACTTCATTACCCACAATCCTGAACAATCCACAGTGATGCATCTGATCGGTGCAAGTCGTGTCACGTGTCTGAAACCCCGCCAAGGTACGTGAAGACTGAAGATCGTGTAATGACGTATAGGGCTAAGTTCATTGGTCGCACCTCAGAGACGCCACTCGCCACTAAAATATGTACGATTTAGCAAAAATCATTCTAATTCGCACAAGTGAGGTTGTTTGAAATTGTAAGAATTAGCCACCTCGTAAAATTCGTACGAATTGCCGTGAGATCGGGTTGGATTTTTCATATCAACAGAAAAATATACCCGGATAACCTGGCTTCTCTTGAGACTCCTCTCCTTCGCAGCATAATGATATGCTAAAGCCAGCCCTCACGTAGATGTGATTGGTTAAAATATTTGTGACTGCGTTTTTGAGACCGTCTCTGGTTCACTGCAGTTTTAAGGAGAAAATTCTCAGCAATGGTGTTGATTTATGAATTTACACATGGTTTGTCTTAAAGCATATTGAAAACACCACATAAACAACATTAAAAACTTGATTTTCACTTTAATACACTGCTGGTGGTTCCCATGTGGTGTATATTTAACAATGAAGATTTTGCTGTGTATGAAGTTAATTTTTGTCATAATAGCCACTTCTGCTTTTCACTCCTACTCTATATTTCTTTGTAACACTTAATAGACTTCCTCTGTATTAAAGCCCAGTCTCTGCCACATGTGTCTCAGAAAGCTGTGGCTCTCTAATCTATGACAGCATGAACCTGCTTTCTATCCTTTTATTGGTCCTTTGGTCAGCTTTCAGTAAGTGGATCACATTTCTCTGCCTCAGATTTTGTGTCTATATAAGGTTGGAGTCAATATCATTTTTTCTGTGTTTTGTACAGATGGGGCTGATGCATGGGACCCAGATTACCATACAACAACAGGTGCATTAAGTTGAATACACTTTTCAATTTTTTTTTATTCTACAAGGATAGCATCAATATAATTTTGCTGTCTGTTTGTACAGCTTCTCCTGATGCATGGCATACTACTACTACTTCAGTGACAGGTGCGTCATCCGATCTAATCACTTTAATCGGTCAGTCTTCATTTTCAAAAAACTTTAAAAGATATGATGAGTCATTATAATTTGTGTTTTACACCGGTCAATGGTACAAAAGTTTCGATGGCATCGTCTGTCTACTGACTTTAAAGGGATCGTTCATTTTGAAATTAATTTTTTATATGTTTTAGCTTACCTCAGGGGCATAAAACATATCAACAATTAATTTCAAAGTGAACTATCCCTTTAATCTATACAATTTAATGTCAGTGTTCTTTAAGAAAAATATTTTAAAGAGCAATTTAAAAAAATTGAGACGAACCGTGACTGTCATGGGGCGGATTTTTAAACTGCCGAGGGCATGGCAGCTGTAGCTCGGTACTAAGGGCGTGGTAAGCTGAAACCTGCGTACGTCACGAAGAACCGCAAACATCCAATAGGAAAATTCAACTGCAGTAGCCACTGTTCAACTGAAGAGGGCAGCACTAAGACGTTTTTACACCGTATATTGTAGAAATAAAACACTTTATACCCAAAATGTCAAAAAAATTACTCGAATCAATGATCAGCATTAAAAAAGCCCATTCTTACAGATCATTAACCAAAAAAGTTGGTTTAGGGTTTACTTACCCTTTAAAGGGGTCATGTACTGAATTATTTTTTATTAGATAGAATTATTTTAAAAAAATTACATAGATGTAAGTATAACTTTTACAATAAAACTGTCATAATTTAAAAAAGCTAATTTTTTACTCTGATTTTAGGCCTTTTTGTTAGCCCATTTAGGGTGTACTCACACTAGGCGATCTGAACCGCGGCCAAGCACGTTTGACCCCCAAAGTCTGATTCGTTTGACTAGTGTGATCACTCCGTATCGTACACGGGCTTGGTTATAAGGTGGAGGCTTGGAAGAGGTGGGCCAGAGCACAGTTTAGTTGGGTTTGGATGCAGTACACATGTAGTGTCCAGCACCTTCTTGATGAACAGGATTTTTGTAGTTCACGAGTAAAGCTGTAAAGTAAATACTGCAAATATAGCAGTCCTTTAGTTACTGATCGGAGTAAATGGAATAAAAAAAATAGGTAGAGTAAAACTAAATAATTTTTTTAAATAATTATAATATATTATTATTCCATATTTTATTAAATATACAACTAATACATTTCATTTGAACAGAACTATTTTCATAGGCACCACCACAAAAATATTATTTTATGTGTGTAAATTGTGTAATATGTGTAAATTAAAATTGAAAATAATAGACCACTATAATGAATTATAAATATATATAAATTAATCTATGTGCGACACAAAAAAGGCTGTTTATTATTTTGGCCGGTAAAAAAATATGCTTGGCTGGTGGATTTTTTCATCTACCAGTCCCCGTGGCAGGTGAATCAAAAAGTAAATTTAGCGAATTTATGCACACAGCAAAGTTCTTTATGATTTTTCACTAAGGGCCGGAGTAAAACGAAATTTGAAATATGTGACTATCGATATACTCAGGGGTGCATATAACTGGTGCGCAGGTGAGCATGGTGGTAAAATAAACGATGCACAGCAGAAAACGTGGAGGAAAGTGCTTTTGAGTACTAATGTTTTTGGGGAGAGGAACCCGGTTACACTGGAGTAGAATTTTTCTCCATCTCTAGTAACATTGCAGTCATGATGATTAATTATTAGTTGTTAAATGTCTTTATTACGTTTTATCTAGGGCACTATGAATTCCTTAATGCAGAAAATGCAGACAGAATCCATAAAAAAAAACACGAAATTGACTGTATAATGTGGAATTTCATAGAATTTGTAGGGACTTTAAAGTACTTTTTGGCATGATTGTGTTTAAAATACTATACACTAAACAAGAAATTAAATATAAAATGTAAAAAATTCTTACTTCAATGCATAATCAGTCTCGACCTGTTGTGACACAGCGTCTAGTTTTTTTAGTTTTATAAATTTACACAGTATGTCATGTGTTGGCTTTTACAGTGTCTGACATTTTTCCATACATTCAGAAACCAGCCCCTTCCTTATCTACAACGAGGACCACAACAAATGTTTGACAGTTGTGAGTGCTAATGTAGAGGCTGCATCATGTGACGAATCATCTGAGGCACAGTATTTCAGATGGATTTCCTCTTCACGAATCATCAGCCTCTCTTTAGGTCTCTGTTTGGGGCAAAGAAGATAGAAGACTGGGCCCAAATTATCCTTCTGCCCTGCAATGAGTCTAACCCCGGACAAACCTGGGAATGTAAAAATGAGACCTTGTTTGGATTGAAGGGACATCCACTGCACCTGAACCATAGAAATGAATATGACAAAAATATGGTGTTGTTTACTGGAACAGGTGTTTGGAGTCGCTGGCAGATTTATGGGACCAACGAAAATCTGTGTTCTCATGGATATCAAGGTACGACCAAAAGTCTAAAATATTATTTGGACACAAATATTTGGAGATATTTGGGCAACCATTAAGCCCTTTATACTGACAAAATGTAACATTCATATTTAATGTCTATTCATATATAATGAATTTCCCTGTGTGATGTTAGCATTTGTTAAACTAGGTGACGGACTTGATTACATCAAATTCTTAAACCATTCTAAATTAAACTTGCACCCTTAATTTCATTTATTTATGTTCTGCAGAGATGTCTAGTATAGGTGGTAATTCACTTGGGAAACCATGCCATTTCCCTTTTAAGTTTAATGGCAAGTGGTACGCTGAGTGCACTGTGGATGGCAGGACTGATGGTCATCTGTGGTGTTCAAGAAAAAGATTACGACAACGGTGGACAGTGGGGCTTCTGCCCCACAAAAAGTAAGACAACACAGTTATATTCACTAAAGAAACATTGCCATTTTAATGACTACAAGTACACTGAGAAAAATATTATGTGCTATTCACTTAAAAATATCATGTTTAATACTGTTACTATAATTTCTTTGGAAACAAACTTGTTACTGCGCTGGCCTTAGCAAAGTTTACTTGACTACACCAACAGTAGCAAAAACATAGACTAGTATGCTATATTAGTTATATAATAAAAGGGCAGGCTCTCCTTCATTACTACCACATTATAAATTAATTTAAAAAAAGAAAGCCCAGTGCGACCAGCCCAGTGTAGCAACAGCACACTTCTGAAGAGCGGAAGAGGTGTTTAAGGGCGTTTTCACATCTGTAATTCGGTTCATTTGGTCCGGACCAACAAGCGTTTTGGTTCCTTTTTTACACATTGGTGTGGTCAGAATCGGTTGAGTTGATGAAACAAACCAAAATGCAGTCACATGACAACATCCACATTCAACATCCACAATGTTTTAACATTACACCTTAATTGGAAATAAATGATATTTTTGTTTACACAAGTTTTAAAATGTTTACTTGTAGTGGTAACCATGGAAATCTACATTATATTATAGGTCTAATTGGACTATGGTCACTCAATGTAACATTCAGACTGCCAGTGACAGGCTGTTGCACCCATTAAATGATTTATATTAAAATTAGTTACAGAATAGTACATCAGTATGAACTTTTAACATTCAATTTAAAACTATGTAATTGCACTACTGTATGTATGTAGGTTACAATATCAATTTGTGAAATAGCTCAAACGTTTTTTTTTTTTTTTGTTTTTTTTTCTGTCTTCTGTTAAGCATTGCTCAACAGTGCGTGGTTTCGTATGATACTTTTGGCAGTGTGTGAATGCTCTCTGTGATTGATTGGTTCTGACTTGCAGCTTTTGCGCACATTCAGATGAGCAGGAAAATGTTCTACTACACAATTATTCACTAACATGGGTTAATCATCCAATTATGTTAAAATATTTTTATTTGAGTATCGATACTTTCGATATTCGTCATCAGTATCGATGTATACAGTAGATACTTTATATCGATCTGATCC